AGGGCCACTGAAGCGGAGCATGAGCACTAAACCACCTTTCAGCATAATTATCACCATCTTCCTAGTTTCTCTGGCCCTGAACCTACTAATCATTTTTAGGGAAACGCCCTTTGCTTCTCCCTCATCCCTCTCCTCCTATCACTGATGATATTGCTGGTGATTCCTCCTCCATAAAATCCTTTTCAAGCCCATGGCTCTAGAGCACGTTCTCATTACTGCCAAGGCTTCTTGATGGGTCATCCTCCTTCGGTTCCCTACCCCATCCTTAGTTGTCTTATATTAGTTGCCCTTCTAATGCAGACATCATCAGGGTATTTCTACCCTCTAATTATTACGCTCATTTATTCAACAGACATTCTGAGAATTTCCAATATGCAGGGCAGAGATAAAAAGATGAATAAAGCCCATTCCTGATTTCAACCAGGTAAAATTTTAATGGGGTGACACACTGAGGTACCTGGCTATGCCTTTCCTTAACTAAAATGTAAACCACTTTGCTGAGCTTTGAAGCTCTCGGCAATGCAGCAGAGCCTGCCTTTCCAGTCCTATTTGCCGTGACTTTCCTCTCTGTCACAATGCCCCGTATACTTCAGCTTCAATGAAACTATCATTTGCTGAAAAACTCTTAAATTCAATCTGTGCCCTTTCCATGCTGCCTGGCTTTGCCACTCCCTCTTTGATGACACTGTACAGTTCTTTCTCCAAGGTTTTGTAAACCTAACTCCTACAAGTCCCACCTTATTCATCCTATCTTTCAGCAAGTGTAACCAATGTCTCTCTCCCATTGTATTTAGAGTATAACACTCACCCAGCCTGGCTTCTAGGACAGATACTTGTATATCTATGCTCTATTATTCAATTTTGCATCTCTAGAAGTGCCTTTCACATCATAGGCACTCAATACATGCTGAAGTGAACTTAACAAGCACACAAGGTAAGAACATCATTTTCAGCTCCTAAACAGATCACTAGCATTACAAGAGCTTCTGAGGGGAGCAGAATCCACTCTGAGTGTACAACCAGGGACACAGTCACTCAGCGAAAGTTTATTAATTTCTCAGAGATGCACCAATCATCTAGTCATCTTTTCATCTTCCTCCACTCAGCCATGCATTAGCCTATTTCCAGTGTTGTCCAGGTGGGGTCTCTAAGACAGGTTTTCAGTCTTCTAATAATTCCCATCATGTCAATCACTGTTATATGAGGGAAGGGAGATGGAAAGTGTGAGAATCCCAAATCTTGCTTTATAATCGGCAAGAGGAAGAAAGCATAGCAGGTGAGCCCAGTTGTCCACATAGTCCCTACAGATGGGCTGGGCATCCGCCAGGGTAGTGTAACCATGGCTACTTCCATAGAGGTAGTCTTATAGGAAGACTGAAAGCAGGGCAAAGGCACAATGTATGATGTACACTGTATTATTCTTGGCAAGAAGGGCAGACAAGAGGTGACATAGCAAAAGCACTCAGTGGTGGAAAGGAGAATGTCCCAGCGAAGTGGAGTACCTAACTGTATAGTCACTAACGCAATACAAAAAATGCCAATTAAAGATTCCAGACAATGTGCTAAGCACTCTACATGAATGACTTTCACCACAACCACAATTTAAGAAGTGGCGATGATGCTGATGGTGATGGTGATGGTGATCCCCTCCACAGAAATGAAGAAACTGTGGTTTGACCAAGGCTACATAGCTACTAGGTAACGGGCTAGAATTCAAATCCACAAAGTATCACTTAAAGCTATAATCTTAACTCTAGTTTCTAATGCCTTGTGTATTACATCGGGTTGAATTAGGAAGTGGTGAATTTTTTGTAATTACAAAGAGAATTGGCATGAAAAGGACTAGTCACCTGATACCCCAACTGCAGAAACAAGTATTTATGCTGGTTAGAAACTGGATACTTTTCTCAAGTTGGGGGATCTCTGCAATGAACTTTTGGGTGAGTACAGTTAGGTACTCAGCCAAGAGGCTGAACTTTCTCTTGTTCACATCTATAATTTGTGGCCTGAGGTATATGCAATTAGAGACATTACAAGCAGGACCCTGGTTATGAACATACCTAAATGTCACAGATGGAAAAATTATGGGAGCCAGGGCGGGCAGGAGGTGATACATCTCACAAGAGGCAGGTATGAAGGTTTGGCTAAGTGTTCAAGAGTTACGAGAACGTTGCATCTCAAGCAAACTACTCTGCCCCACTGGTGTGGGTAACGCAGACTGAGAATCACCCACTGCGTCGCCTAGCGAACCCAAGACGGAAAACTGGAGGCCTTGTATGGGCACTAGTCAACATAGCTAGGAGACACAGCAGGTCACACCACAGCCAGGTTTCCACCTGCAGTCCACCTACATATACAATTATACAGTTATGTTTCCATAATTAGTTTGCTTTGAAATTCCATTTATTTTATTTTATGCATTTAAAGACATTCTGTGAAGGGGGTCCATAAATTTCGTCAGGCCGCTGGATGAATGCAAGGCACAGAAAAGTTTTAAGAATGCTTGGCAATAGAAAGAAGAGTTTTCTAAATAGTGGAGCCAGCTTGAAACACCACGTTGCAACCACTACCGATGACAATCTTTTCTATTTGGAGAAGTCATAATCCAGGGAATAGTCTGACATCACTACCATAACACAACTACCATATGTAGAGTTGGCATTGTTGGTGATTGGAAGACAGAGACCACATGGGACTCTGATTAACTGATGTTGACCACCCTAAAAGAGAGTTAAAACAAAAATCTCCATCTAATATAGTCAAATCAGTCAGGGCCTACACCATTATATATGTGAAACAAATAGTTATTCTGATTTGAAACACTCAATAATTATCTTGATTAGGCTTCCTGAATGTTTATAGTTACTTAATTCTTCCATATAAGGAAATATAAAAGAACGTGGACCAGATGGTCTGCTGGGTTTGCTTCTTTCCAGGAGAATAAAGCATACTAACTCCAACATATGAAAAGAAAAAAAAGAAAACAGAGCTGATTTGTCCTAATCCCTATCCAAAATGATGCAAGATAGCAGAACGTGGCTAAATCAAAATAAAAAATAATCCAAAGGAAATTCACATTTTTCTTGGAGATCCATTTTAATACTGTACTAACTCTGAATGTACCTGACATTCATAGATTTAATTTCATATTAGATTTACACACACACACCTTCAAAACCCTTTATCAGAAGGAATCAGGAAGGATAATGTAAATCTTTCCTCAATAATTTCTCGTGACTCATGCTTTAAGATCAAAGTAAGCAATTACATACAAAATCTGGGCTCCACAGTAATAAATTTAGATTATGAAGTTAGAGACACAAATAACAAAGACAGGCACAAATTGGTCAATTTTTGAGTCCAGTGTTTAAAATATTACATTTTCTGATAGTGTCAATTTGAACCGAGTACAAAATGAGAAAATGCATTTCAATTCAAAACGAAAAATATTTTTATAAATCAGGAATACTCAGGGCTATTCTGAAAGGTTGAGAGGGCCAAGTGTGCTTACCTCTCACGCCTCCATTTAGAGGTCCTATGTATCTTCCAAGCCTTTGTAGACACCGGATCAATATTTTATAACATCAGATTTATATTCTAAGTTTCAGTGTTTTAAGAATTAGGTTTGCATCATCTAAGAGTCAATTGAATATTTTTAAAATTCCACCAACAATTCTTTTTTAGTAATAATTAATTTGATTAGCATTTTATGTTTTCAGATGCTCTGTTAGCAAAAATGTATAGCTTTTATTTAAACTAAAGTATGAGTTTTTTTTTCTTTCTTGGTGAGGAAGATTTGCCCTGAACTAACATCTATGCCAGTCTTCCTCTATTTTATATGTGGGACACCTCCACATCATGGCTTGATGAGTGGTGTTAGGTCCACACTCCAGATCCCAACCCATGAACCCTGGGCCACCGAAGCAGAGCACACTGATAAAGTAAGAATTTTTGAAATATGTTTTAAAAAAATCTTCCTAACTTTCCCACAATGTTGTTATAAGGATCAATTAGAGGAGAGTGGCAATATTTCATAGATTTTAATGTTTATTTGATGCTTTGTTTCTCTTTTTTTTTAGAAAAATGAACCTCCTTCCCACAAAAAGTGGAAAAAACAGAGGCATAGAATCCCAACAAAAACTTCCCAGATGGTCTCAGAGAGGTGATAAGGGAGGTTATAGCGTCTCAAGTTTCCAAAATCTTTGGCTTCCATATTGATATTGCCAAGGTGGGGAACTGCAAAGGGGGCAGGCAGAGAGAACAGCACAAATTTATCTATTAGGATCTGAACAGATTTGGAACCTTTGATTTTACCAATTTTGATCAGGTTAATGATCTGGTAGTGTAAGGATCTAAAGAGCCTTCTGAAAGTTACAGCATGGGGCAAATGTAACATATTAAAGTGACAATGTAACATTGTCATAGATTATATGCCACAAGAAAGTATTTGTAAATTATATAAATCCCCTCTATATTTTGATCATTTTCTTAAAAACAAATAGATAGTTCCAGTCAGTCATTAAATGAATGAAAAAAAGCAATGAATAATGTGCCACTAATAGGTACAATACCAGTGTCAACATTATAGTATAATTAATAATTTAACAGTGTAACAAAAGTCACCCTGAAAAAAATCAATATATTTCAAAATAATTTTAAGCTACTACTTCAAAATATGATTTGATTTTAAGATTATAATAAACTCAGAAAATATATAATTCAAAATAGTTTTTAGTTTTACTAACAGGTTGTGGGTAGCTTCTTTTACTTGATAACTCGAGTTTTTACCATACTTCTTAAGAAACAAAAAAAGTAGTTTAATTGAAATTCAGTCTGCAAATAATTCATTCCGAACCCCCTATTTTTTTCATATTTTGTGGTTGTGAATTTTAATGTCATTACGGTAAATAAGGACAGAAAGATGTTCATAATATGCATATTTGGAGAAAATATTACAGTAATGTAAAATGATACAAGAACACACCAAATCATTTTTTATGAGGTTTAATTTAACTAATGAATTTTAAATGATGAATGTAATGTCAATCCAAATCTTTGTTTATTTGCAATGCACAAACTATTTTTTGTAACGTGTAGGTGAAATAGATTCTTTTCACCACAGCAATGCTTCCACCCTTATTTACGGTCTTTCTTTTTCCTTTTTGTTTTTTTCTTGAGTCTTTTTTCTTCAAGTTTAACAAGTCACTTCTGGTTTGGCTAAAGTGCAATCCTAGCACAATAATGTTTCAACTTGCAAGGAAGAACGCCCTTATTGAGTTGATAGAACTCCACCAGCTGGATTAGATCCGTAAATCTCGTGTGGCCGTCATCCAGGGTGTGGAACATTTCACCATCATCTTCCACCTGCAAGGGGAAAAAGAACAAACTGGTAAGAAGGACAAAATACCCAGAAGGCCAATCATATTCTATGGCGTACTGTGTCTTTCTTTATACGCCAAAATTGACACGTTTATAAAACTAAAAGACAGTGAAAAGAATGTTACGGTATGTCCACTTCTTTTTTGTAACTTTACTTGCATTTAAAAGAAATATCATCTGGTCCTAAGATAAGCAGTGTGGCTCCACTTTCTCGACCTCCAATTCTCCCAACGCTCTACGGTTAGAATAGTGTGACTACTCTGAATCAACAGAGAGAAAGCTGCACCATTCAATGTAAAAGTAAACAAAAGATTTTAACGCTTCCATTTTACAGAAATTAATTTCCATTTCTGAATGTGTCTACCTAACAGCCTCACTTAGTATATTAAAAATGAATATTCACATAATTTGTATCAGTAAAGTGACTCTGAAGCAATCAAACATTATGTTAATGGAATGACAGTTGTCTTTTTTTTTGGCAGTGAGGTCTTCTGGCACTAAGCAATTCATCCTCGCCAGGGACATCACTCACATAATCAACGAAGCAGGGAAGATACTTCATATGGACTTTGGATAATTCCAAAAAGAGGCCTAACAAAAGGAAACACTAGCAATTTAGCAATCTTATGTAAAACTTTGCTGAAAGTGGACTGAATCTCTATTCTACACTACCTGGTTCCAACATACAGATCACATGCATACACACATGCACACACACACACACACAGAGCAGCAGCAGAAACATAAAAATCCCAAAGCAAGTTGTGTCACCCAGAAGCAGAATTACAGAAATTTTTAAAATATGCGCAGAAGAGTTTAAATGTTCTCCAGTTCTGCAGCACCTGTGTATCGATCATAATGATTTAAAAAAAAACCCACAAAAACAAAAAGAACGTTTTTGACACAAGAAAGTAGAAAGGGCTTTAAAATAATGGTTTTTAAAGAACAGCTAGTAGAATTCAGAAAGAATCTTTACTGTCCTTTTAACAATAGGTGGCATGGGGTCTGTACAATATTGCTAAATTATATTTCATGGAAAAAGGGAAATTTAATTTTTACAATTCCTGTATTTGTTATATTAATTCAGGCTCATAAAAGCATTTCTGCCAAACTTAAGTCTAGTCAAAGCACAAGCTCTCAAGTTATATTTAAAAAAATGTCCAAAGAAAACCAAAGTTTCCAAGAGCTTATGCATTAAGATCACCTCTAATATATGAATGTGAAATCACAAATTACTTACTGGTATAATTTGAAAGTGCTTTATTTTTTGTCCATGACTCATTGACAGTACGAAAGTTTTGGGGTTACTCTGACTATCCCGTACCAAGAAAACTCTAAAGAGAGAGAAAGAATTTCAATATATTGCTACATTTTCATGGATTTCATAGAAATATAGCTTGGAACAAACCCAGCAAGTATCTTCATAAATATAGCCAGAGTTTTCCTTTACTGTGTATGCAACGACGGAATTATCCAACATGGTCAATAGTATGGTATAACATAATCTTATACTATAAAACTGTCATCGGTGCTAATTTAATTTTAATAGGATAAACATACAGCCCATTTGTCAGATTGTTTGCTTACAATAACCAATGAAGTGCTATGTTGGCATCAATAACTAGTTACGTCCCTTTTCCACTGGAAATTGGTTATTCACATGTAACTCTTTTGTACAGAGAATGGGGCATTACCATATTGTTATTTTAACTTTTGGGTCATGTTAGGCCCTGAAAAGAATAACTTGTTTAGAATAAAATCATTTTTTAAGCCCCTCTTCTACACTGGATACCCTTTTTCCTTTTGATTCTGGTTCCTACTATTATATACACAACAGAAAGTGAGAAATAAATATATTCTAAAAAATCAATCCTGAAATCATTTATTAAATGTTTGAGCAAAATGTTTTAAGTAAAAGAAGCACCCAAACAACAAATACTTTAACCTTGAAGAATGCAGCAGAAATGCCTCTATAATGTCAGGCTAGAAAAACAAGACATGGCCTAATGGCCTAAGAGAAAAATGCTGCCAGGCGTGGATTCTTATTTACTGGCAATACAGTGCAAAACCAGCTTTGTATTAATTGTTGGCAAACGAACTGTGCAAACGATTCCCACCGGTGACTCCAATACTAATCTCACTGTGCCTGGGCAAAGAGGCAGCCAAATTTGAGCCATCACAGATGTCTGATGAGATTATCCATTTCATTTGTGCAGTGTGAGATTCCGACATTACATCACTGGGAGATGGGACAAAAGAGTTTCACTGGTATATCAAGCTGTAATTCTCTCCCCATTTCTGAGCAGATCACCACTGCCACCTAGTGGACTGCTTGGCATCATCACATATTTCCAAACAAATACCAAAAATAAATTTTTTTAGTTAAAAAATTTTAAAAATAAATACACTGTTATTCTTTATGTAATTATTTCATTCAATTTACAAAAGTTTGGCTCAGAAATGATCTTCCAAAACATTTTGACAATTCTTTGTGGCTTATTTCTTTTCTTGGTCTCATCAGATCATAATTCTGCTGATTGTTGAAATTTATATCTAAAAAGACTGTGCTCCATGCAGAGAAGCACATTAAAATCTTTCCTTATTTAGAGTCTAGTGAAATGCTGACTTGCGATTAATAATCTTCCACACGAAGACGCATCTTTATCCAAATGTCAGTATTAAATCAACGTGAAATCTTGGCGTCATCTTAAGCCAACCCTTGAAGATATAAGATCCCATCACCCCTTGTTTAAATTGATGCTGGTTTCATTTCTCATCCAAACCTCAATACAACCTCCTTAATCTGTATCACATTTAAGAAGAGAATTTAGCCAGTATTATAGGAAGTATCTAAAATATTGAGTAATTTGAGAAAAAGAAAATTCTTTAGATTATAAATCTTTCATAAAACATTTTATATTTCTCCTGTATCTTCCATGGTACCCCACTAAAAGATAAAATGAGAAACAGTCAAGATGTACTCTTTTCATAGGTTTACATTACCTTAAGCTGCTAAAATTTAGAGAAAAGAAAATAGGGATATAAACAGAAAGAAAAAACAGAAAGAAAAAACAGGGTAAATATATATGAAAAAAGCTTTTTATTTAACATACCCTGCATCAAACTTAAAAAAAAATAACACGTAAGATAATGTCATGACACAAATCATACTTTGCAATTATATTAATTATATGTTCAAATCAAAATGCTGACACTCAAAAACAAGTTGTTCTTCTCCCCCCATCAATTAATATCTGAGATACTAGTACTGGCATAGAATGGGTAATATTAGTGATCACTGGTTAAGCGCAGAGCATCTTATTCAGTTATCTGTTCATTTATTCACAAATACTAAGCACATACTATGTAACAGCTATTATATAGATATTGCTAGGATACAATGGCAACCATCCTTATACAACAAAATCACTTCTGTTTTAATAAGCTGACGTCAAAACTCTTTGTGTGTGTTGAATAAGTAATTACCAATTACCAGAGAAATCAAAATCACTACCATTCAAAATCAAACGTACCCATCCACAAGGCCTTGCTGGATAATCAATCGCTGAGCTTCATCTCTAGAAATTTTGTGGTGAAACCATGGTTGGGACCGGTGGATAGCTGAAGAAACAAAGTGGAGGGATACAAAGCTTTGTTTGAGACGATCACAAGGTAATTACATGTACTTTCCACCATAACCCCTCAGTGGCTCCATCTAAATGCACATCTATCCCTCCATTCAGTCACAATGAATATGCACAGACATACCAATGTTTGTGGTAGAACTCTGTGAAGAGGCAGTGGGGCTACCATGAGTGCCCAGGCGTAAACATCCTTTTTTCTGCACAAGGAAGGGGGAAACAAATTTCAACTTTCTGGGTGAAACAAACTTAAATCATAAATATTTTGAAGACCTTGAAGCTATTTGTACCCTCCAAGCGAGTCCTTCTTCAACAGCAACAGACAGGGCTTCAGTGGGATTTTCTATAACTCTGCTTTTCTGGCCTGAGAAGTCCATTGCTACCAGGGAATTCTCTGATATACTTCTCTGGAAAAAAAGCCACATTTTTTTACCACGAAAATATCTTTGAAGTTATCTTTCAGTGCCTTGCTGGCAGGCAATACATTTCCATTCTAGGATGTGGTTCCAAAGGTGGCTAGCAGGAAATTAAAAAGTTAAAAATATACTCAAGATAAAATGGTGCTATAAAATATTTTGGTTAAATAGATTACATAGTTATTTAAAGTCATTGAATTAAATGTTGAATAAAGAGATTAAAAGCTTTCAAGGTAAGCATGTCTTTCTCCTAAAACAACCCTATCTGTTCACACTCTCTAGTAAAATAGGAAAACAGCAATTTGGAAAGAATAACCCTTTTGTGGCTAAAAAGATCCATTGCTTCTGAACTTATCTCTCTATTACTCTTTGAGATTCATCAGTTATCATTTAAATGTCAAATCTATCAACTTATGAAGCGACTACTTATTAAGATTCAAGATACATTAAAGCTATAACAGATTGACTTACATCACTTCTTTAGAAAGAAATAATACTCATATTTTATAACGGAACAAACTACTATATGTGTTTTAAAAGTTTAGCACCTCAACTTTCATCTTACTTAGAAAATGAAATTTAGTAAAATACTTTAGGTAACTCAATATTAAAATTTCTGATTTAACATATGAATACTTTTTCATCTTGTGGGGATGAATATGGCAAAATGAGAGCTGCAACAATAAGTCTAAATGACAAAAGAAGCGATATAAAAGTAAGGCATCTTTAAACAAACATAATTTTAAACAAGTAATAAACTCGTCTTTTTGCCAATTACTTTTTGTATTCATATTCTCTGAAGGTGAAAATAAAATAGCCAAAACCTGGGCCTTATTTTTATTTTTTGTTTGTTTGGGGCTCTACTTTGCAACCATCCTTCAAAAAGTATGCCATCCTTAGTCATGCATCCTAAAAAAAGACAATTGTCGAAATCTCCAGTCAAGAATGTCACTCAGTTAATAAGAATTAAAACTCTACAAAAGAAAAAACACTCAAAGACATTTTTGAATGTTTAACAGTTACTTTTCACTTGTTAATAGAGAAGCAAGACAAAAAATGGAGTTCTGATGATAAAGGATGAGTCAACATGCATGTGGAGACTTGCGGCTTAAGACCACTGTCTCTCTCTCCCCATGGATTCCGCCATACCTAGCTTGGTTGAACACACTACAGTCAAACGTGTGCTTGAAACAAAACCTTGTTCACACAAAAAAATTGGCAGGCTCATTTATCACTGCATCACACATCCCACTGTATTAGCATTTGCTATTTCCTCTTCAAATCATGCTGTAGTGGTCCACAATCTTATTACGGTTCATCTTTATTTCTAGAGATCCAGCGTGCAATCTTTCATTTGTTACAGGAGTCTTTATAACTGACAGCTGCTCTTTCCAGACAGATGCTGTCTCTGTAATCTCTATTTGCTGTCACACCTTACTTTGCCCTTCTCACCCGGTGATCTTCTGTGCCGGGCTGTGGACCAGTCGGATATACTTTTGCTTTGCCGACAGTAATAAAAAGCGTCCACCTGCCCAAACCACAGAGTAACTAATCTCAATCATAATGATAGCTTTATCCTTATAATATCTCTACTTCACATGCCAAGATAGGCTCTGTAATCGCAAGGTCCTGATAACATAAAAATGCTGTTAGGAAAGAAAAATAAACATAACCAGTTGTTCTTATTCTTTTTTTTCCTACAATACGACAGGCTGGAATGCAAAACAAGATCCCATGTTCCCTAATTACTTGACATAGTAGGGAGTCTACAAAACAAATAAGTATTTTCATTTGCTACATTAACTACACCAGAGGAAAACACAGGGATACAGCAAATGTTTTCTACTGAATGGCAGGTGGTGGATGAAAAATTAATAGTTTACCTTTGGTGGACAAAGAAATGGAAGTGAAGCAAAATCTGCCCTGAACTCAAAAGGTCATTTTCAGCTCTATTTCTTTCACATAGGAAAGCGATGTCGCTAACATTCAGAATCAGTGTATTTCTCAAATGTTTGTCCGTTTTTCTAGCTCTTTCTTCTGGTGGAATAAACAGGGCAAGCCCTAAAAAAAGGTCCATGATTTTAATGGCATGCCTATCTTTTTTTTTTTTTTTTTTTGGTGAGGAAGATTAGCCTTGAGCTAACATCTGTTGCCAATCCTCCTCTTTTTGCTGAGGAATATTGGCCCTGGGCTAATATCCATGCCCATCTTCCTCTACTTTATATGTAGGACGCCTGCCACAGCATGGCTTGACAAGCAATGTGTAGGTCTGCACCCGGGATCCAAACCTGCAAACCCCGGGCCGCCAAAGTGGAGTGCACAAACTTAACCACTACGCTACTGGGCCAGCCCCATGTGCCTCTCTTTTTATGAAAGAAGAGGCCAAGGTACACCCTGGATCACCCAGGCCACACTTTGAGATCAGATCCAGTCACTCTTGGTAAGGTTTGGACATAAAACGTTTTTCAGGCAGTTTAGCTGGGTGGCAACTAGCAGCCACATACTCCCTGTCACCCTATTTGAAAGATCTAGATAAATCTCAGCACAGTCCTTAGCAAGAGGGCACAGAATTTCCTCAGATACTGTTTTCTCATCTGCTTCCTACAGAGTCACAGGACATCAGAGATCTATTCTAGATTGATTCTAGAGACTATGCAACCATCTCCCTTATTTTATACTGCAGGACACTAGGGACTCAACCAAGGTCACACAGGACAGCTTATGGTAAAAGCAGTAACAGATAGGCCCTATGAGGGTTCTTTTATGTACCACAGAGTGGGAGGTACAGGGAAGAAACTGCATTTTGGATCAACTAGCTCAGCATCAAAAGTGAGAAACAGGGGCCGGCCCGGTGGTGTAGTGGTTAAGTTTGTGCGTTATACTTCAGCGGCCTGGGGTTTGCCAGTTCAGATCCTGGGCGTGGACCTACTCACTGCTCATCAAGCCATGCTGAGGCGGCATCCCACACAGAAGAACTAGAAGGATCTACAGCTAGTACATACAAGTATGTACTGGAGCTTTGGGGTGGAAAAAGAAAAAGAGGAAGATTGGCAACAGATGTTAGCTCAGGGCCAATCTTCCTCAAAAAAAAAAAAAAAAGCGAGAAATAATAAAAACTTGAGTAGACTTGCTTTCCCCATCCCCTCACTCCAGCAAGGGCCATATTAACAGAGCCTCCTTTAAATGAATCCTTTGTTTGCCCTAAAAACAACCAAATATATTTGGTTTCCTGAAATATGCTGATGATTCTCATTTCAAAGGCTGATGGGGTAGCTATTATGTGCTATATATAGCTATGATGTTCATTATGGTATGAGAAAATTTTTTTCATTCTCTTCTCAAAACGTATCCCTGGAGAAGTTAAGAAGATAATATTGTTCCTTTAAAAACATAATTAAAGTATACTAAGTTTTTTTTTGTTTTTTTGTTTTGTTTTGTTTTGTTTTGTGAGGGAGATCAGCCCTGAGCTAACATCCGTGCTAATCCTCCTCTTTTTGCTGAGGAAGACCGGCTCTGAGCTAACATCTATTGCCAATCCTCCTCCTTTCCCCCCGCCCCCCCAAAGCCCCAGTAGATAGTTGTATGTCACAGTTGCACATCCTTCTAGTTGCTGTATGTGGGACACGGCCTCAGCATGGCCGGACAAGCAGTGTGTTGGTGCGCGCCCAGGATCCGAACCCGGGCCGCCAGCAACGGAGCGCGCGCACTTAACCGCTAAAGCCACCAGGCCGGCCCAAAGTATACTAAGTTTTGAATGTTGCTCAATGAAACAGCACCATGATGAAAGCCGGCAGAGGCAGGTGAGGGGCGCTGGCGTCCATTACATAACGGATATAACTCATCAGATATAATTCTCAAATGCTATTCCCTCTGATCATGACGACTGCCATACAGGACAGGTCATCGCCACGCAGACACCTAAACCTCTTCTCTTTCAATCCCTGTTTCCAACCAGATTCCCTCAAGGGGTGTCTTTTCCTACACATGGTGTTGAACAAGTTAAGCTATACTAACCAAACTGTCATATACACAGTGATCAACAGGAGGATCACTTTCAACGGAAAGAGGAAGAATCATAACATACTTGTATGCTGATGACACTGATAGGACTAGAAAGTACTTTGTTTATAACAATTTTTTCCTATGATTAAGAAGATACTAAACAATAATTGCCTCAAAATGCCTGGCTGCTATTAATATGCTCAGCCTAATCACTTTAGACTCTAAAAGAAATTTAGAAGGATTTAGGAAAGGATTAAGATAATAAAATTCATTATTCTTTATATATATGTATGTATGTATATATATATGGCTTGAAAGATAAGGGTAAGCTGACAAAATGTAAAAATACTCACCTTAAAGTGATTGCTTTTATAAAAATTCATTACATTCCATATTTTCTTATTTTAGGGCTTAAAAGTAATAGGATGCAAAGATGAAATGTTACTCTTCCATAACTTAAAGCAACGTAACTAAAGAATTGGAGTTCTTTTTCCATATTAGTCTATCAGGCTTCATAATCAACATTATTTCATGCCTCATTCCTAGAACTGAGCACTTCATCTGCTACATTACATGAGGGGAAATGTCCTTCCTTGGTCACAGCCATGAAGAGCTTATAACCTAAGTGGAAATGCAGCACGTTAGCTGATTTGTAACACAGGGACATACAGCCAAATTCCTAATGTACTCAATATTACGGAGTGCAAGCAAAAATAGCAGAACATAAACTTTAAGTTCAGAAATAGACTTCTTGTGTTAATGCACAGGAAATTAAAATTAGGTCCTAAAGAAGGGAAAGATGTGTCTGTGTGCATCTGCAAATAAATCTCAAGTTGCATTTAGTATAAATCTGAGAAGCGGTGCTAGACTTAATGTAATGCACGACCTATATCTTGGTTTGCAGTATTTGGGTTTCCTGGAGAGCAGTCTGATTTTCAAGGACCTGGAACTTTAAAAATTTTATTGTTAGAAAGCCAGAATGCAAAAGAGCCCGCAAGTGTATAATGCAGCTTTTAAAATTCCAAACCACTGGCATCTTTATACTAGGCTATGGCAATCCCAGAATTAATATTAAAATAAATCAACCCACAATAAAAATCAGTAATTAAGAAAACATCTACAATCTCAAGGAAAATGTTCTATAAATTATCTTATTAAGATCTTGTCCTCAAATGTAATGACACAGAATGACTCACATAATTCTTTTAAATATTTAAAAATTTTCTTTAATATACAACATTATCTATTTTAACTGAATACCTCATGTATACTCTACTGATGTGATTTTATCATATAGGCTACAATCATATAAAATTCAGGAATAAATAATTCAACATAACATGATAGGATGGTGCCAAAGAGTTACTTTACTTGACTAAAAGGAAAGAATGCAAATGTATCATAATGTACATTTATAATGTAATTTAATTGCAAATTATTATAATGTAAATATAAAATATACTATAGGTTAAAAATGTGGTCCTTACCATGGGTGATATACTCTGAGAACTGCAGCCACTTCTACCTTGATATGGATGCATGTAATTCTGGTACAGCTGCATGCCATACTGTAGAATAAATAAATAAAAACATTCCCACTTTTACTACATAATTTATGAAAATCAACATTTTCATTAATTATACTCATCAATATAAAAAATAAAAATTATAAGTTTTCCTAAAATAAATAAGTAAAGCCACCTAAATTTTGAAAGGTAAACTTTTAGTGCCCTATAAGACTAGAGTTAAAAAGATAGTGTTTTTACTTGGACCCACACTTAAGGCCTAGCTCAGCAGTAGAAAGATCTGGAACTGACATTCCTACTCATTGTTTTCAGCACCAAGAGCACCAAAATCATTTGGAGCAGTACATCACCTAGTGATAAGCAAGCTCACTTGGGAAGGATGCTAGGCTTTATGGTACAAAGATTCTGAAAACCTTACACACATCCTAAGCAAAACTGGGTAAAATTTACTGTAACTGTTCAGTGACTGATTGATGAATTACACTGTCACTTCAGTAAATCCATAAACTTGGCCGCATGCTGAAGATTCTTGGCACTGTATCATCCTCTGGTAACAATACGCTTATGGCATTGTTTAATTTTTAGCTTTAAATTCAGAGAAATCAAAATGGTGGGGAATCAGGCTGATTTCAGACAAAGGGTCATAAAATACAATGTAAACAGCAGTAGATAAGAACGGCAGTATCCTGACTTTCAGGAGGTAGTGTCAGAAGAACCCGGCTGCCAGGCTACAATTGGAAAGCGGGTCTAGATTATCATCGGGTTATTAGTTTGAAAAACGTTAACAATGCCAACTGCCATGACCAAACTTATCTTGCAGGGCTCCCATGAGAAACTGGAACATAACCCTCTTAGATTGAAGTCACTTTGTTTTAAAAAAAAAAGAAAGAAAGTAACCAGTGGGACAGACAGGCTCTTTTTTGGCTACACTCTATAATTCTCTCCATTTCATGGAGCCATAATGAACTTAAAAGCAGGTCCTATATAAAGGAGACTGAAGAGACACCATGGAATCAAATCTTACCCTTAAGAGAAATTCCATTTAAACATTCCAACAGAGCTGTTTCTCTCCTAAAAGCTATTTCCTTAGAAGCAATTCCAGAAAAGTGGATATATTTGATAATTACACATAAAATCAGAGGGAGGCGAGGGGAGTCACTGTTTTCAAGATTTTCCTTTTAATATGAATACAAACCCACATTCATTTAAAATTCTCTGTTTTGACTTCTTTATCCAATTATTTCCCAACTTCCAAAAATTATTTTTTAATTTAAGGTTTGATTGACGTTAATGGGACCTAATGAAATTTATTTTAAATCAACTCTAAGCTTACAATCACTTTCGAAAGAAGACAGAGGAGCTTAATTCCTAGTCAAGTTCATTTTGGAGAATATACAACAACCTCCAACCAACACTTTCACAAGGTACATGCTGCCTGGCCACCTTTTATTTATCTGCAGTGAAAAGCCTGCTACCTACTAATAAGACTGTTTTCTTCAAAGATGTATTGTCTCTGGTACCCGCGGCGTTAGGCAGTTGCTTCTGTGCTGTTGGAGGTCTTTAGCAGGCATTTAACTCTGGCAGAGGGGTAGGGCATGGGTCACTTTAACATCTCCCTGTCCTATGGAGGGTCAGATAAGGGACCAAAATATGTTAGAGAGAACCCAGCAGAGTTCTAATTGAAGGGAAGGGAAGGAGACAACATGTAACTAGGACAGTGTAGATGAGCAAATCTTCCCTTTTCTAAGTCTCAGATTTTCTGTGATTCTATATGTAACTGGAATTTCTCCAAAGAGAATGGGAGTATCTTCATCTGATGCTACACGAAGAGTTTATCTGTGTATATGAAAGAGAAAGGAAAATAAAAATAAAACAAGAGGCCAAATTCTTGGAGGAGGCTATATCTAATAAGCAGTGTTTAATGAAAACAAGAGGGGCACTTCCTGTCCAGCTAACGGAACATGGACTACTCTCTCCCTACTCCTCCCGACGAAGTACAATGATAAACTCTAGAAATAACACAATAGACAACCATAGGGGACAATCAAAACATACCTTTAAGACCAGGTAAGCCCAGCTGCACCAGCCAGAGGGATCAAACAGGTGCCCCACTGACAATAAGCTGCCAGGGAGAAACAACTCACTCCCCTCTTAGAGAGCCTCAAATGTGTCTGTGATGTGAGACCTGGCGTCCTGTGTCTGGACATTTCAAAGTGTAGAACACATCATATCACTTTCTTGTTTGAAACCGTTTGGTGGTTTCTCACTGGCTCCAGGATAAACGTCCTCACTGATGCCTGACTCCCTTTCGAGCTTCATCTGGAAAAGCTTTACCATAATTAAAACAAACAGGGAACACAGATATGGGAGGCAGAATAATAGCCCCCACATCCTAATCCCTGGAACCTGTGAATATGTTAGGCTACCTGGCAAAGGGGAATTAAGTTTGCAGATAGAATTAAAGGTGCTAATCAGCTGACCTTGAAATTAGGTGATTATCCCGGATTATCTCGGTAGAGTCAATGTAATCACAAGAGTCCTTATAAGCGAAAGGGTAAGGCTGAAGTGAGAGAACCAGGCAAATGGCAGTGTAAAAAGGACTGGGCTGATGCTGAGGCCGCGTCCCACATACAGCATCTAGAAGGGTGTGCAACTATGACATACAACTATCTACTGGGGCTTTGGGGAAACAAAAAAAAAGGAGGAGGATTGGCAATAGATGTTAGCTCAGAGCCGGTCTTCCTCAGCAAAAAGAGGATGATTAGCACGGATGTTAGCTCAGGGCTGATCTTCCTCACAAAAAAAAGTACTGGGCTGGACATTGCTGGCTTTAAGGGTAAGGAAGGGGCCATGAACCAAGGAATCTGGGCAGCCTCTAAAGGCTGGAAAGGGCAAGGGAAATGGAGTCCCCCCTAGAGCCTCCAGAGGAGAATGTAGCCTAGTTGATGCCTTGCTTTTTAAGCCAATAAGAACCATTTCAGACTTCTGAATGACAGAGGTATAGGATAATAAATTTGTGTTGTTTTCAGCCACTACATTGGTGGTAATGTGTTACAGCACTTATAGAAAGCCAATACAACAGAGAATCTTTAAACTGGGCATCTGTGACTTAAAGGAGGCTTTGAGAAGAGTCAGATTAAAGAAAAAAGTGAGAAGGGGACAATGTTCCGGAAACTAAGCATTCTGGATATGAAAGGATCAAAGAAAGCTTTTAGCATATTTCATCAATTCTTAGACACACATTTCTTTCCAAATTTTAACACTATAAATTTGCCTTGTAATCTAAGGCATCTTATATTCACTGCGGACCATGACTTGTCACTGCCTGAAATCTTTGATGGGATCAGCAAGTTGTTAGTATCAAACTTTGCAGAAGGGATGTCAGTGGCTAGAAAGACAACCCCACAGACCATGGCAGAGCACTCGTCTGAGAAGTTCTGCCTCCCCAAAGCTCTTGATGGCACAGAGCTGAACAGTCTGTGAAAAATATGGATATCCATGACTCTGAGATGAAAATGATTCAGAAAAGCCAGACTTAGAATATGAAGAAGTTTTAAAGATACCCCAACCACTTTATTTCATATATATTTTTTCATATATATGTAGATCTGTGTGTGCACAGAAAATTGATAAATAGCAAAAACCTAGGTCTATAGGTCTAAATAAATATAAAATAACTACTTAAATGAAAATAAAAATTATAAGTGATATGAAAGACTGGTTAAAGGAAGTGGGTTTACCACCTGCTTGTATTGGGTGTCTAACTTTCAGCCCAAGTTAGAAGGAAGAAAGACTTGGCTAACAAGATTGGAGAGCATCTCCTCTACCAGCCTAGCCTGATTTCCAGAGTTCTGATGGAAGGCAAGAGAAAACCAGAGACCTCAAGATATTTTCTGCACCATAACTATGATGGGGTAGAGTCTTCCAAAGAGTGCCAGCCTCCTTATCTATAAAAGGAGAGGACTGGATGTGGTTCTTAATCAGGCAGACACCTGGAGCTCACTTGCTAAATTGGGATTCCCAAGGCTGGGGCTGGGCCACATGGAACTTCAGACAGCTCAGGCGATTCCAACGTGATTACCTAGTTGCTACTCCCTTGGCTGGTTGGTTTCCAAGACCCTCTAAAGTTCTTTTCTTTTTTCTTTTTTTTATGTTTTATGACAATGAGAGCAACAAAGTAGCAACTACTTATCGTGAGGATTTCAAAGAATTAAGACTTCTGAGCTTTGTTGAAACCAAAATCATCTAGTCATTTGAACAAGACACTATTTGAGAACCAAACAAACCTCTTGTAAAAAGGTAACCACAGCAGCTATCTGCCACAATAGCAAAAGGATGCAAATTTCATAGTTAATCCAAAAGCTTCCTTCAAACCATTTTTAAAACCTTTCTTCTGAGCCAGCCCTGATGGCCCAATGCTTAAAGTTTGGCATGCTCTGCTTCAGTGGCCCGGGTTCGGTTCCCAGGTGCGGAACCACACCACTTGTCTATCAGTATCCATGCTGTGGTGGTGCCTCACATAGAAGAACTAGAAGGACTAACAACTATTATATACAACTATGTACTGGGGCTTCAGGGAGGGAAAAAACAAAACAAAACAAAGAGAGGAAGATTGGCAACAGATGTTAGCTCAGGGTAAATCTTTCCCAGCAAAAAAACCCACAAAAAACACTTTCTTCCAATACCAGTTCACACCCACTAGGATAATTATCAAAAAGAAAAGAAAGGAAAATAACAAATGTTACTGAGGATATGGAGAAACTGAAATTCTCATTCATTGCTAGTGGGAATGTAAAATGGTTCAGCCACTGTGGAAAACATTTCGGCAATTCCTCAAAAAGTTAAACCATAGAATTTACCATATGACCAGCAATTCCATTCCTAGGTATATATGTGAAAAATTGAAAACTGGTACTCAAATGAATACATGTACACACACATTCATAGCAGCACTATTCACAATAGTCAAAAGGTGCAAACAATCCAAATGTCCAACAATGGATAAATTGTTTATCTAAGATACATACCCATACAATGGAATATTATTCTGCCATAAAAAGGAATGAAGTACTGATATATGCTACAAGGTGGATGAACCACAAAACAATATGGTAGGTGAAAGAAGCCAGACCCAAAAGGTCACATATCGTATGATTTCATTTCTATGAAATATCCAAATAGCTAAATCCTTAGAGACAGACACAGATTGATGGTTGCCAGGGGCTGAGAGTAACTGCTTACTGAGTACAGAGTAGGTGATGAAAATGTTTTGGAGCTAGATACAGTTGGTGGTTGCACAACATTTTGAATGCACTAAATGCCAATGAATTGTTCACATTAAAAATAGTTAATCTGGTTAATTTTATGTCATATGAATTTCGTCTCAATTTAAAAGAATTAAAAGAATAAAAAATAAAACTTTCTTCCAAACTTGGTAAGATAATTAATAATTCTGATTGTGATTATTCTGCTCTTCTTCAAAACGAAATGATTGACAATTTTGATAATTATAAAATTAAAGTTGTGTTAAATTTACTAGTATACAAGTTTTGAAAATAAATATGTTTTCTGTATACATTGTGGAAGAAATCAGTTCTGTATCTCTTCCCTACTACCTTTAGAGCATTCTTACTCCTTTCAAAATGCCCACCAACAACTTATGTTTATAGAAGTTGTAGTATCTACTTAGCACAAAGGTATATGTTTAAATAACATATCTATGAGTCAGCCCTGATGTCCTAACGGTTAAAGTTCAGCGCGCTCTGCTTCAGCGGCCCGAGTTCGGTTCCCAGGCGCGGAACCATACCACTCATCTGTCACTGGCCACGCTGTGGCAGCAGCTCACAAAGAAGAACTAGTAGGACTTACAACTAGAAAATACAACTATGTACTGGGGCTTGGGGTGCGGGAAAAAAAAGAAGATTGGCCACAGATGTTAGCTTAGGGCGACTCTTTAAAAAAATTATGATAATAAATCTATAGTAAAACTCATATAATAATTTGAATTATACTTAAACTAGAAAGCAATCTGTACAATACTTAAACGAGACATAAAACACCTGCACTAAACATGTCCAGGTGGGCACATTTTAATTACACTTCATATGGATTAATGGCAGTGTTTTCAAAATGCAGACTAAGTTGTGTACAGGAGAAGTTCCAATCAGTCATACTGGTTATATATGTAATACTCTTACAAAAAATAAAAATCAGAACATTTCTAAAAATGGAATACTTACTCTACACAAAGCTAAATGTATTAGATTACTCCATTCTACTCTGCAAATGTTTATCTTTTAGATAAAAAAATAAAATACACACATTTGGTGGTGGTGGTTCATTTTCTTCTTTCTCATATAACCATACAGATTCATAGTGAGTCTCTGCATTTTGACATACAGATATTTTCAAACTTCGATGGTCCTCCCAGCATTTAATAGAAATTCACGCCTGCAGCGAGATTACCTTAAGCAATCTAATCGCGGTCACCCAGCACGTCCTACTCTGCTCTTCTTCTGCACAGAGCATTTTCAGGTCTCGGGGCCCTCCCGCTTTGTTAGGCTAGAAGGCCACAGCACATTGTTTATCATTAATGCATATCTTGAAGGTAACACCTGTTGAAATAAAAGCCACTAAAATTCTCCTACATATAAGAGAAAGCTGTCTCTTTTCAAAAGAAATTAAAAGAAACTCAAGCTTACCTAAAAGGCTGAGGCTTGCTTTATTCATCTATCAAAATATTAAGCCTGTACCTTAAAGCAGAATCCATAGTTAGTCGGTGCTCCGTGTTTTTTTTTGCCTGCCAGTGACATATAAATATCACTATTGCCAAATTCGCTGAAAAACTGCAAATGCCGTGGTTCCTTAAAAAAAATATATGTGAGTGTTGAAATGGATACACATTTTTGCACTACCTCCTTTATATTTCTATTACATGACACAATTTATACCTTGGCAAAAATTATTCCAAATAATGCCACAGAAACAAAAGGGAAGAAAAACTAAGTCACTATATACTTAAATAACCAGGAGATTGATACAATATTATTTAATTTGAGAAGTGGCAATTTGTTTATAACTTAATTTCCAATACACAAAAAAATACATCTTCCTATTTTAAACTTATTCTCTTTAACCGCCATTTCAAGGAATCTGAAGGAGAGAAGATAGCAAAGGATGGCTTTTGAAAATGTTTTCCTTGTTCAGGTTTCAAATAATGGTAGTTCAACAAAGAGAAGAAGGTTGGTTTGCACTGCTGCCGCAGTTAGAGAAGAAAAAGGAGAGCAAGATGATGATTCCTGCTTCGTTCAGAAAAGATCATCACTGACATCTGCGTACTGCCCAGCACACCACAGCGGGCAATGAGACAGGCAGCATGACTATCTTCCTTTACAAAAAGAAGGAAGTCTGTCCGATATCGTCAGGGAAATTACCTGGCAGTGGAATGTGTCTGATTTTCAAGGCAAAGTGGAATCATGAACGCCTATTTCTTCTCTGGGAAATCCATGATTTTAGAGCTGGTCATGGGAAATCACGGGGTTATATTATTCTGTGACAGGTTAATAACTTGGAGAAGGGCTTAACTCTGGGGTTGAATGTACAATCAAAACTGACCAAATGCATTTGTTCTTTGAAACTTTGCTACTGGTAGTGCGGTACCAGACCAGCAACATCAACATCACCTGGGAGCTTATTAGAAATGCAAAATCTGGGCACACCCTAGACCTATGGAATCAAAATCCACATTTTAACAAGATCCCAGGAGATTCATATGCACTGAAATTTGAGAAGCAGTGCTCTACAACAAAACAAAACAAAAGACAGAAAACAGAACATTCAGCAATTTGAGCAACCCATTCAAATCCAAATCCAAAGAAATTCAGTCATTTACCAGCAGGCTATTCCATCCCTGATGACTGGGAGAGCGAGAGTCTCTGTATGTCACTGTTTCTCTGTGTGTCACTGTTCTTAGGCGTTTTGATCTAATGAATGATAGTTCCCAACTCCATGAGATAATAAGGCAGAAAAGAAAATTGTTGACAGAGACCCAGTCTAGGGCCCTTGGAACAAGGAAAGAGGAAGGGGACAGGTATTCTTATTGTTGTGGCCTTTAAAACTTTATTCCTTGATAGAAACTGATTTGCTAGTAAAAAGGTCTGATTTCTACGAAGATGGGATGAAACCATCCCGGTCCACCGTTACTGTAGAAGTCAATGCAGCTGAGTCATTCAGATGTAAGAAAAAGGCGGCTTGGGAAACATTGGAAGGCCATAAGAGGCATGATGAGTTTTTCCCTTAGTTGATTTTTGTTCCATGACTGCAGACACATCAAGGCTTATGACACTATAAGACTACGAGGCTGAGTTAGCGTGGTTAGCAAGAGCTAAGCATGCACATATGTATATAAAGAGGGAGTTAGAGAGGAGGGTACTTAAGACATTTCTCTGGAAATATAAGTCACAGCCACATCTCCAAGGCTTTTGCAGTGGTTATCTAACTCCCATGTAGCCTACATCTCTGGAAAGTAAAATAAATTAAGACTTCTCACAGAAAAGGGACAGGAAATGGTCTCCTTGCCAGGTAGAAATATCATATTAGACATTAAATAATCTACATAATTTGTATCGTCATAATCCTTGAGGTTATCTAATACCTCAAATTTCTTTTTTGAGGGGGACCTTAAAATCATTTCCATGTGTAGATGATAGAACATGAACTCATTAGGCACAGGCTAGAGAGAAGAATATTACGTACTGATGCACAGCAGAGTCACACTGTTGAAAAGAGCTAAAGTATGGACTGAAACTAGAGATTTGATGCTTATAATTTTGCCTAGCCAAGGGGAAGACCATTGTAAGGACAAAAGCTTGGATCCAGTAGAAGGCATAAAAGCTGTCTTGTTGTATAATGGGTAGATGGGAAAAGAGGTGAAGGGTGAAGTAAAAATATAATGGGCAGTTAATTTTAATGAGAAACCTGTTGAAGAAGTAAGAATTTAGGAATTAAAGAGATTTGTTTTTTTTGCTGAGGAAGATTTGCCCTGAGCTAACATCCATTGCCAATCTTCCTCTTTTTTTTGTATGTGGGCCACTGCCATAGCATGGCTGGTGAGTGGAGGTCTGCACCCAGGATCCAAAACCTGTGAACCTGGGCCACCGAAGTGGAGCACATAGAACTTTAACCACTCAGCCATGGGGCCAAGCCCTAAAGAGATATTTTTATATCTTCCGTTGAAGAATCACTGGAAAGATAAACATGATTACTGAATATAGAAGCCACTTTTCTCTGACAGTAAAAGTAAAAAGATGATCCAGCACACATTTGAGGAACACTGGGAAAAGAGCAACCTCATTAAAATGGTTAAGAAAAAGTCTAACACCCAATTACAAAAATGGGTAATTATTCATTCTAACATTATTTATGATAGAAAAATTTGAAAACTAGTATAAATGTTCAAGAAAAATTAGTTAAATGCATCTGTATGATAGAATACTAGTGTCAAACTATATATACTTAAAAAGAAAAGATTTCTGTAAGGGGTTGGGGTTATTAAACTAGTAGAGCTCCATTCCATGAAGCATCCCACCACTTACACCTCAAAGAAAAACAGACACACACACACCCACACACACACCCACACACGAACAGCAACAAAGGAAAACTGTATATAAGGGAAAAGAGGAGACTATGCAAGAACAGTTGGGGAAAGATGGAAAAGAGGCAAGTATTACTCCTTTACGGCTCCCTACTTCCTATTAGGACCACAACCCAAATATCTGGTCTCCAACATTACCTGTGTTCTGAACATTTCCTTTTGGATGTTTCACCCTCAACACAATATACCTAGAACTAAGATCATTATCTTACTTCTAAGATACTGACCTTCTAGCAAACCTCCTATCCCTGTTTATTCTATTAAACCATTCTCTATATATTTCTTTCTCTAAGAACATTTTTAAATGCTTCCTCCTCTTGCATATCAAGCAATCAGCAAAATCTGGCCGTTTGCCATTTAACCTTGCACCCATCCCTTTCTTCTCCCTCCATCCTGGATTACTGAAATGATCATCTAATTAGCATCTGTGCCTCTAATCAATCTCTCTTTCTCTCTCTCTCTCTCCCCCTGCACCCCCTACTCCTTCCCTGCCTCCCTTGCTCCCTCCCCCTCACTCTCTATTTTTCTCTCTCTCCCACTCTCTACTTGATTTTTTAAACTCTTTATGGCCCTACTGATCTTCTTACAACTTGATCATTTCACTCTCTTGCTCAAAACTTTTCACTGGCTTCCTGTAGTGAGTTGAATGATAGTCCCCCAAAAGATATGTCCATGCCCTAACGCCGAGAAACTGAATATGACCTGATTTGGAAAAGGAGTCTACGCATAGGTAATTAAGTTAAGTATCTCAAGATCATCTTAGATTATCTGGGTGAGCCCTAAATCCAATGACATGTGTCCTTATAAGAGACACACAGAGAAAGAGAAGGCCACGGGAAGAGAGAGGCAGAGAGTGGAGTTAGGCAGCCACAGGCAAAGGGGCACCTGGAGCCATGACTAGCCAAGACAGAAAATCCTACTGAAAATTAAAGGATCAAATAACGAGAAATAAATAATGGATGAACATTTCCAGCATCAAAGAAAAATAAGAATTTGCAGATTGAATGCATATATTGAGAATCCAGCAAGATTTATCAAAATACATTTGAATGCACCTAGAAACATGGCAGGGAAATTACTGGATACCAATGATTATAATAATATCTGAAAAACAGCCAGAGAAAAATGATAATTTACCCATAATCAACAATGTTGTCACTGACAACAACAGATGAATGAAAATAGAATTAAAATAACCTCTCATGAAAACTCTCAAAAGTAGTTTCACTTAAAAGATATCAATGTATTGGATAAAATGTCAACACTTATAAAACATAGACCATATGGCAGAGACAACATTGACTAGACTACATAGAGACACAGACTACATAGTGCTGAGCACTGTGGGAATTACATGTATAAGTGATTACGTGTGTGTGCATCGACATTTGCACATGTAAGTCTATGTAACTGTACACACAAGCACACACATAAACACGTACATCCACCCCAATCATAACATAACTTCCTCTAGGAATTTACAATCTAGCTAAAGAGACAAAACTAACACACTCAAAGGAATTAAAGAACAATTACAGACTCTGCTGAGTGTTACTAAGTACATCAACATCAACAGAAGTTCAGAAGTGGGCAAGACCAGTCATATGATCTGGGATAAAAAGAAAAGATGTGAACTGGGCTGGGCCTCAAAATCTGCAGCATAGGGTGAGGAGAAAGGGCATGAATTCAGAGTTGGGAAAAAATGAGCAAGGTATGTGGTACTGTAATAAGAGTATCTAGGTTCCATCAAAGGATGTATGTTGAAACTAGTGGTAAATAAACTTGAATCATTTTTAAACAGATTACAGCAAATGCTTGGAATCCAAAAAAATTACCAACTCCTGACATCAAGTAATAAAGTAATAAAACAAAGTAAAACCCATTTTAACTTACAACTTTTATATGATTCATAACACATCATTGATATTTTAATTACCTTTGATGTCCCTTTAGTAGAAAAATATAAACCAGATCTTCTTAGAAGGAAGTAAATCTTTTTCCAGGACTTCTTTCCCTGTTCTTTTGCATGTAAGAAGCCATGGATTTCAGGATATGTGCTTGAACTCAGAAACATCTGGAAGAAAAATCAGACACTCTCGTACTGTTTTTGAATCAATGATATTGTAGCCTTATATTAATCATGTTAAGATTTCAAATAGAAACAGGTAAAATCTAATAGCGTCAATACCACTTATACACCATTGCAGAAATGACAATGTATATATAACAGAAAGTAAGTCTTTTGACAACCTGAAGCAAATTTCAAATGAAAATACGTTCACAAAATATACATTCTAAGGGATCAGTACTTGGCCAAACAACAAAATTATAAGCTATTTGAATGTCCATTTGAAAAGCTGGACTTCATCTATGGAGTTAAATCCTGATACTTTTCTATGATTTTGCTTGAGAACCTATCAACTTCAACTTCACTATGGTATAAGTAAGACCACAATCCTGACTTCAGATATTCAATTATTATGAAACTTGAGCCAAGTTCACCTCCTTGATGAGGGTAAAGCAAACAATCTCTTCTTTGTCCTCTATGGTTCTCAGCTGCAGGTGGGGATGGCAGATTGTGTTTTCCAAAGAGAACTGCAACAATATCTTCCATCCCACACGCTCTTTTGCAAAGTGATCTTGCCAATGAACCATGAAGAGGTGGTCTATTTCTCCACCCCCTTGAATCTGGTCAAGGCTTATGACTGCTTTGACCAATAGAATATGGCAGAAGTGACAGCCAGTTCTAACTGTAGTTCTTAACTAACCTGAGGGCTTCCACTACTTAACTCTTAGAAGCTAGCTGTCACATAAGAAATGCGACTACCCTGAGACAGCTATGTGGTGAGAAGCCCAGAGCAACTGGAAAAGCCCTGAAGGATAAGACACCCTGTGGAGAGAGAAAGAGTGGCCAGGAGTACCAGGCACATGTAGTGAAAAGCCATCTTAGAAGGGGATCCTAAATCCCACTGTGAGTCAATGTGCCTCAGTGATGACCCACCCAGTTAAAGCCTTCCCAAATTCCTGACCCATAAAATTGCCAGCAAAACGTGAGTGGGTACTTAAGCCATTAAGGTTTGGAATAGTGTGTTACATAGTCATAATTAGCTGAGACAGCGGGCACGTGTTGGTCAGGAAAATGGGAATGAAAAGGAAGAGTGGTTGTCCTCAGCGTCCTTATTAAGACAGTGAAATGCATTAGTGTCTCATTAAAAGAAGAAAATAGAAATCCCTATGAAGAAACAAATGCAAAATGGAAAAACTGAAAGCAAGAGAAATTGTTAGCTAAAACAACGTAACATATTTTAAAAGGCTACTCAGGGGAATGCTGATAGTAGATATTTATGTTTTTCTAAGTAAATTACTAAGAAAAATTTAATGAGCCACAGATATTAATTAATTGTCATGCAAAACAGGCAAGTAGGTTTTTTAGTTTGAGTGCTTTCCAAGTTATTAAACCAAACCAATTAAATTTTAAAAAGGGAGTCATAGAGGTCACACTGGAAAAAGAAGGAACGTTTTTAAAAGTAGAAACATTGCCTCAGTGGAGAGAAGAGGTCAGGGGCACATGCAGGACTATCTGATTTCAAAGCTATAATTTTTTCTTGTTTTTATAAATTAACATTAAAGTAATATAACTATATTATAGGAAAATTTGGGAAAGGAGGCAGAAGAAAAACTCCAATCCATCGCCCTGTCATAATCCAGTAGTGAAGCATAGAGAAGCCCTGAGAGTTGGGGCCTGGGCACTACTGCTGCTGCCACGAATGTCCTAATATTCTCATGGGCTGTCTGTGAAAACCCTGTAGCACAGAAGTAGCTTTTAGAAAAATCTCTTCAGACTAATCATATTTCTAAAATATTGTGAAGTGCAAAAATGAAATATAACCTATTAGAAAGCCCACAGAAAACAAATCCGTGATACCCAATATATTTACCAATATATTTAAATACCAATATATTTAAAGTAATATCTCTGTTGGAAATATTAAGTCGTCTTCATTGAAAATCAGAGAATACTGAATGGGTTTGGGGATGCCCAGGGCTTAGATCAAACAGCAACTATTACAAAGACATGGCTCAACAATAACCTGTTAACAACTGTAGAGCTTCTGATGTGAAATCTACTACTCCATCAAAAATAAAATAATAACTGAAATCATTCTTTCATTGCAATGAAAATATTTTGGAAAATGATCACCTAAAGCCACTGTGAGTTTGGAAGAAATGAGCCCAAAAGATGCAAAACTAAAGAGATTTTTAATTAAATAATTATATTCCTAATTCAGCAAAGATATTTCACAATTCTACTCAAGTATTTCCAACATAGCTATTACAAATGTAGCTATTATTAGTGCATGAAATAGATATATTCTATATCTTTTCTTCTTCTTTCATTTAATTGCTAAATATCTTACCACAAATAGGATTGAGGGCATTTATTATAAAAGTTAATACTAATCTGTTAGTAAAATGTCTACAATTTACAGGGAATTTTGATTTTTCAAAAGACTAACATAATCTTTAAACACATCACAGAGCAAAACTCTGCAAGTTTCCTTTCACGATATACATTTTTCAAATGCTTAAAATCCTTTGACAATTGGCCAAAACTGGGAAGAATAACATTGTTAGGGGGCTTTATTGATACACGGAATTCTTTATCCATGTTTTGTTCTTTTTTTCTTTCCAATTCTTTTCTTTTCAGTTTTACTTCCAGTAAAAATTAATCACTCAAGGCATAATATTCCAAAATCTGGGCATGTATAAATATGGACCTTAAAGTTTCCCTTTATTATGTTACTACTCACGTATCTTAATGAAAATATATTTTACCTGCAAAATCTGTGTGGGGGATATTTCACCATTGGTTTCAGTTGCAAAAGACACCATATGCTCTGGAAAAAAATACTGACGAAAAGATACAGGTTACATTATTCTAAAATCTATGCTAGAAAGATTCGATTATGACCAATATAGTAATCTAAAGCAAAAGTTCTTTAAATCAATGTGTTGAAATTCACCCAACGTGTTTTTAAAAATACCGATCCCTGGACCCTACCTTCAGGTTTCTTAACGAGAAAAGAGGAGTAGGGCCCAAAGATGAGCAAACCCCTAAGACGATGCTGATGCAGAGATCCCTTGTACCTCTAGTTACAAAACACTGCCCTCAGGGTGCCAGTGTGCTTGCTCCCATCTCTCTTCCCTGAGTCCTGCAACCAGTCCAGCAGGTATTAAAGGACTATCAACTCCATTTTATAAAGTCAAGGATCACAGAAATAAAGGGTATACCCAAGGTCACAGCTCACAGTGTAGAGGAGCCAGGACTTTAACTAGGGCCAGGGAGCTAAAGGTCCAGTCCTTTCCACCTACTGTTTTTCCAAACATGTATAATCATAAAATTCACCCAGGGCAGTTGTTGACAATAGGAATTCCCACACCTTGTTCCTGGAGTGTCTAATTCAGTGGGTCTGGGTAGGTTCCAGATCCTGCGTTTTTAACACGCACTCTCTCACTCCCCTAGGTAATTTGTATGATCAGATGAGTTTGGGAAAATATATTCTGCTATACTTCCTCTAGGATATGGGTTTTTTCAACAGTAGTTCTCTCTTTTTTTGTGGGTGTGAGGAATATTAGCCCTGAGCTAACATCTGTCACCAATCCTCCTTTTTTTGCTGAGGAAGACTGGCTCTGGGCTAACATCAGCACCCATCTTCCTCTACTTTATATGGGACGCCTCTGCAGCATGGCTTGACAAGCGGTGCGTCAGTGTGCACCTGGGATCCGAACCCCTGGCCGCCCCAGCGGAGCGCGCGCACTTAACCGCTGCACCACCGGGCCGACCACTCAACGGTAGTTCTCTTAACATTTGCTCTAAAGTACTGTGTTGTGGGGGGCTGTCCTGTGCATCGTAGGGTGTTTAGCAGCATTCCTGGCTTCTACTCGCTAGCAGCCCTCCCCACTCCCAGTTATGACAACCAAAAACATCTCCAGACATTGTCAAATCGCCCCCTAGTTGAGAACCACTTCCCTACGTCTACAAACTGAATGTACAACCTTGTTTAAATAAAAAACAAGAGATAAAACCAAAAACAAGCACTAAATCATACGCTTTAACTACGACTTTTAAACTCTTGCTTTTAATAAAGATTCACAAGAAAACAGTTTCCCTTCAAATTCCAATTCTATTTAATTTTTATTAGGACTCCTATTTTCTTTGTCAAAGATCATCCCAATTATGTTTCTATTAATAGGTTCCAATAAAAGAGAAAGTAAGAGGTCTTTCAGGGTTTGAAAATATTCTATTATGGTGTGTATCACATATTTTTCATAAAGGATCATTTCAATCCAATTATCCAAAACTCAGTGTAAAAGTATGCTACAGCTGCCGAGACAAAAACAATTTAAAATAATGAGCCCAGAGGCTATTCCGACTTCTCCAGATCCCTAATCTTCATTAGAATGTGACATACATTTATTTTCTTTTAAAGAGAACTATAATGAAAGTAGTATTTACTAGATAATGCACTGGTCTTCATCTCATTTCTACTTAGCTCAGTAATTATTACACTGAAAACAAAACACTTTGGAACAGCAAGATTCACGCCAATCTTAAATTTCTGGCTAAGTTACAACACTCCCAACAATCATCAATCTGTTTTTACTTTTAAAATTTTCTCATTTAAATTTCCTAAATTCTGTGAAAAGTGTTAAACTATAACATTTTGGAAACTGTTTGAGGATATCTAATAATTCATTCTCCATATCAAATGTATTGTTTTTTTTTCTTAAAAAGCAAGAAAAAGAAGCAGTAGTTGCCTAAAACTGTGTATCTGAACTTCTGTGATGATGTTGACTAATCATTGTTAGAGTAAGAAAAAATATGACTATAATTGCAAAGGACCAGAATTCTTACCTACAATTTACCATATAGGGAATTGTATTTTATTTATAGTGACTCTTTTCTTCACATAAAATAAAATTTAACTAATTCATTTATTTTCCATAACTATTAATGGAGATTTCACTTACCATTGGGTTTTTAAAGAATTCATATTTGGCATAATTTTTTCTAAAGTATAGCTTATTTTCTTCTTCCATTCCCCAGTTAGATAGCACTTCAATCACCAGCTCATGGTCTTCTATTGTTCTTTCTGTAAAGAATGTTTCAGTGAGTATGTCAACAGATGGACAGATAGGTAGATAGGTAGGCAGGTAGGTAGAGAGATAGATAGACAGATAGATAGATAGACAGACAGGTAGGTAAACCAATACATATGGATATAAATATCCATACAAATATACAAAATTATTTTTATATATATTATGTATGTATATACATCTATTATGTATGTATCTCTTTAAACATAGCAAAATTCCACTCAATTCTGAAATAACCAGATTGATAAAATTTTCACCAATTTTGAATTAGTAATGTTGCATTTATGCCAAAACAGACTGTAACCTGAAGAGAAAAACCACATAAAATATTACAATGCACTCTTTACTAATTCTCAATCTCCGTTTATTGCTATGTAAATTATAAGCTGGATAACAAATCTGCATTAAGAATATGGAGCTATTCTTTTTCTCCAACTCATCATGGTGCCAAAATTAAAATATTTGCCTCAAGGTTGAACAATTCACCTCATTAGGAGATAAAAAATTTTGACAGCTTCAATATGCATTTAAGATACATAATATTGACAGCTGAGAAAAATTAAAGCAAATGCTTTAAATGGAAAATTTTAATGCAAGTACATACAATTTTTTAAGAAATCTAATTTCTTGTGGCACTTTACACTCTCAAAACTAATGTTCAGGCAAATATATTTTTTTATTAAGAATGAAGATGGGGGGGCAGCCCCACAGCGTAGCAGTTCAGTGTGTGCGCTCTGCTGCTGGTGGCCTGAGTTCGGATCCCGGGCGCGCACCGACGCACCGCTGGTCAGGCCATGCTGTGGCGGCGTCCCATATAAAGTGGAGGAAGATGGGCATGGATGTTAGCCCAGGGCCAGTCTTCCTCAGCAAAAAGAGGAGGATTGGC